GCTTGAGGCGGAAGGATCGCTGGATCCCAGCAGGTGAGGCTGTGGTGGCCGGGAGCGGCCACTGCACTCCAGTCTGGGCGACCGAGTGAGACTCCAACTAAAAAAAAAAAAAAAAAAAGAATTAGACATAACTAATGAATGATGTCCCCTGGGGTTTCTGCCAGGCTCTGGGAGTGCACATGACCCAGAGCAGACGTTTCTGCTGGGTCTTGGGCCATCCAGGATACACACGCATGTTTCTAGGATGGCTTCAGAAGTACATTGTCTTGAATAAGGAGAGCATAGTCCTAATTTCTTCCTACCACACACCCTCCCTGCCTTCCTCCCACCCCCAAAAGGGCAGAATTTTCCTGCTGGTTAAGGTATGGCCATCCAGTCACCTCTTGCAATGTTGCAATGAGTTTAAAACCTTGGGCATCTGATTCAGACATACCAGGGTTTGATTTCAGGTTCCAACATTTAACTGTCTGTGTGAACTTGGGGAAGTTACTTAACCCATAAGGTAGCAGAAATAACAATACATGTGGCAAATTACTCAGCATAAATGTAGTACCTGGCCTGTTGCTGCTATTTTTGTTAAAACTAACAGTTATTATAACAGTGGTGCGTGAGAAGTGAGGTAAAAAGGCAGATCTCTCTTAGCTCTGTGATTCTAAGGGTTACGTGTTCTACAAATGGCCTCTGTAATTCCACGGTGCTGTCAGCTTCAGCCTCTTCTGTTGGCCTCTGCAGCTTCCAGCGACTCTGGAGCCTGCAGCTTCTAGACATTTTAAACAGGTTTTGGTTATAGGTAGTCTCTGTGACTCTTGCAGTTTGGTTCACCGCCTGGTGACACTTGGTCTAGGCCAGACTGACATGAAGAGTACTGTGTTGAGGCCAAGACATTTGCTAGTGTTTGCCTTTGCTCCCATTCTACAGACAAAATAAGTGGAGTTGTGGAGGCCTGTAAGTCAGAAGGAGCATGTGCAGACTGTCTTTTAGTTAAGAGTTTAGTTCTAAAGACTCGATTACAAGTCATTTCGGCCCTTAATCCTTGCAATAAGTATTAGATGAAAGGTAAACAGCAACAACAAAAAATGTATGACATCAGTGGATGGGCAGCTATCAAGTATAGCTACTTAAGATGTACACAGAAATAGAGTTTCTTTTTCTCAAATACTGGACATTACTCCTGTTTAGAATTTTCTTGAGACATTGTTGCCTTTAAAATTGCACAATGAAACATATTTTTTCTAGTTTTTTGCACTCTCTTTCCACTTCTTTCTCCCTCCCCTCACCTGCCCTTCCACACATATTTTTTTCTGAACCATTTGAAAACACTTCGCATCTCTCAAGATTACCGTCATTCCACCATATCGCAGTATTGATTATACTTATGACATTTAATAGCGATTTAATAATATTTAATATATAGTTTATATTTAAATTTCCCCTTCTGTTCCCCAGATGTCTTTTATGACTTCAGGACCTAGTCAGAGCTCACACATTGCATTTGGTAGTTCTGTCTCTTTAGTCTCTCTTGATCTAACATAGTACCTACCTTCCCAACCCCCACCAAGACATTGATGTTTTTGAGGAATCCAAGCCAGCTGTCTTGTGGAATCTCTCATATTCTGAATTTCTCTAATTGATTCTCGAGATTAGTTCCCAGCTGAAATTTTGGCCTGAGGAGGTGACCTTGTTTTCCTCTTAGCATATCAAATCAGGAGGTGCTTGATGTCAGCTGGTCCTTTGGTTGGTGTGGCCAAGTGTGATCACTTGATGTATTTGGTGACCTCTAGAGCTCTCCACTGTGAAGGTTATTTCTTTCTTTATAAATGATGAGTGATCTTTTGGGGTGCTGCTTCGAATCCTGTTCATCACAACCTTTCACCCAGTGGCTTTAGCATCCACTGATGATCCTTGCCTGAATCAGTTATTATATCAGGGGTTGCAAAACATTAACTTTCTAATTCCATCATTTATTCTAAATTAATTACCTGGAGTTTTTCTATAAAAAAGAATTATTTTTCCTCCCCTTTCTTTTTATATTGTTCTCTCTTCTTTTAAAGTCACAGATTCATGGATTTTTTTTTTATTGTTCATCACACCATAACTCATTTCCATCAGCATTTTTCTATAATATTAATTATTATTAATGTTCAGACTATCCCAAGTCAGGCCAAGGGAAGTCCTTCAAGCTGGCTCTTATATGCCTTGGATTTTTCCTACTGGCGTTTGAGCATTTGCTTGTTTTCTGACACAGCAAGAGGTCCCCAAATCACTTGGTATTTTCTTTGTCCAGCTAGAATCAGCCATTTCTCCAAGGGGCCCTGGCTCCTTTTGGTGACAGATAGTTGTAGAGTTCAAGGTCTGTGCACTCTACTGATTGCTATTGAGACATTATTGCTTCTGGGCTATCCTTTAACAAGCACAAAGTGGTTTTATAATGACTACACAAATGTCATTATCAATTACACACTTCCTAAGTAAAGCTCAAAGAGTTTTGTGCACCTCCATTTGTCCTTAGAATGTATCACACTAAGGTTCACAGTGCTGTTTTCAGAAGTTACTTGAATACTTGCTCGTATAGGTTAAGATTTCAGTTTAATACACAATTAAAATTGTGTTCAATTTTAAGGTTTATTTTTCATCCTTTATTATTTAATTCACTTTTGAATGTATAAATCATTTATATGGATCAAAAGTTAAAATTGTGTGGAAAGACACACTCAGAGATGTCTCACTCCCATTGGAATCCCTCCACCTCACCCCCACCCACATCCTGAAGGTAGTCTCTCTGTTAGCTTCTAGGCTAGCCTTCCTTTAGTTCTTTTGCAAAAATACACACATACAAACACATATTTTTTTCCTCCTTTTTTGATTTGATATTGCTAGATGTTAGCAAGCTATGGCCCATGTCTCAGCTGCCTGTTTTTATAAAGTTTTATTGGACCTGGAATATAGCCATACCCTTTCAGTTTAAAAATTGAGAACTCTGATCCATGCAGAACTCATTCTGGTGTATGGTTTCATCTTTTTCTGAATGGCTGTTGCCCTGGCACAATCTATATAAAAATTCATCTCTCCCTAGTGATGTGAGAAGGCTCCTTCATCATATTCTAAATCTGTGTGTGTACCCGAGTCTCCTTTTGACTGTGTTATTCTGTTCCAGTGGTCTTTCTGTCTATTCATAGGTTATTATGCACCACACTATCTTCTTTATAGACCGTTGCAATAGTTTTTGGTGTTAAGCAAAAAACAAGCAAGTGATTTTGAAATATAGGTCCCATACACTAGTGAGAATCTTGTAGTAGAGCCTTTTTTTTTTGAGTTATCGGGAGATTTTAGTGCTTGTCATGTCTGGAGTTGATTGTGAATGTAGAAATAAGACAAATCCTATGTCTGCTTCTTAGAGAACAAAAGATTATCTCTAGCATTTATTACTTGATGAAAATATTGCATATTTTTTCAGATGAAATCAGCTTCCTC